CTGCAACTGTACTCCATTGACAACTGAGTTCCTCTGCCACCCTGGCAGATGGAAATTTTAGTCTCTCCCTTCACAGATCTGGTCAGATGCTTTGTCCACACAGCCATGCCAATTTCAAAACATATACAGAATTGTGCGGGGAGAAGGACCCTGGGAGGGGGGGAGGTGGACATTTGCGGGGGGGGTATATGGCTGTGGATGTAACCATGTTTCATGTTACACCATGGTTATGGGTATAATATGAAACATGATCAGAAATATGGAATGTGAGTAATATTTGAAAACAGGGACCGGTCAAGCAGCCAGGTGGGAAGAAGATTGGGCGAGTAATTTTTTTAATTTTAGACCCTAGACTAAAACGAGCACTTAACTCCTGCAGTGCAGGTGTAACCCCACAGCAAGGGTTAGATTTTTAATATGCCCAGAGTTTTTTAACCACTTGAGGACCGGGGTGTTAAACCCCTTTCCTGTCCAGGCCATTTTCCAGTATTTAGCGCTGCGGTACTTTGACATTTATTCAGTCATGCAACGCTGTACTGAAATAATTTTTTTTTAAATAATTTTTTGGGGACAGATAAAGCTTTCTTTTGGTGGTATTTAATCACCACTTCGGTTTTATTTTTTTTTACTACATAATGAAAAAGTAGCGGAAAAAAAACAAACAATTCCCCTTACGTTATGTTATGAAACATGTATTATCCAATTTTGGGTAAAATATAAAAGACGGAGTCATGTTGGGTAAATAGACACCAAACATGTCAAGCTTTAAAATTGTGTGGACCGGCGAAAATCGCAAAAAAACTATTATACCCAAAATTGGCCATAGGCGACATACTACAGCTGCCCGACTGCTTGAATGTACCAGCCATGCCGGCTGTTTAAACTGATGACTGTTTCCCGCTTGTGAATGCACAGTGGGGCACGCATAAGTGGGAAAAGGAGAAAGGACGTTTGAAAACGTACACCCACATTTAGACAGCCACCATCCAGATATTTAGTTACAACGACCGGACATAAGGTGGTTAAGGGACACAGGAATTCTTAACCTTTGGATTACACTATCGCCCACGACACTTGCAAACAAAAAACTGTAGAACAGCCAAGGATAACCCCCTCCTACTACTACTAGCATGCCTCAGTTTTGTAGCACAACACAAAGGAAAATGTGTCCCTTATAGACTCCCAAGAAAAAGATTTTGCAAAAATCCTATTTTTTGTCCTTCGAGGGACTTAGGAACTCTTTCACCTTTAGGACATTCAAAAACTGAGAGGTGGACAAAACAATAAAACATTAACAGTCTCGTGATGAAAAACACAGAACTCAACATTGCACACAGCTCAAAGAGCTGCCTAAGAAACTTGGGCCCGAATGAGGATACAATGTGCATCTGGTAGAACGTGGAGAATAGGTGAATAGAAGACCAGGTGGCAGCCCTAAAAATCTGGGAAAAGTTGCTCATCACCAAAACGCCCAAGAAGACCCCACAGATCAAGTAGAGTACACCTTAAAGAGAAGGTTGGAACCCAATCCTTGAGACCATAAAATTAAAATTAAGGTCTGCCTGAGCTACCTAGAGATGGTGGAATGAGAAGCCAATACATCCATATGGGGTGTACTCATCCCACAGAGCCACCAGAGCATGCACTGCTTCCGCATGGAGTACGCCTGTGTTGAACCTAAAGGCTAGGTAGCAGAAGAGTGCCTGCTTGCCAGGTGTGACCAAAGTCACCATAGGCAGACAGTAGGAATGGATCAGATTGAAGTTTCATGTGGTTTTTTCAAGCAGGAGTAGCAGCTGGGAGATGCTCTGTATACACTCCACCAGCAGATTGTCAGAACTCAATCCGTTAAACCTTTCTGCAGCAAAATAAGCAAGAATGGGAATTAAAGGCACTGTAACCTAGATAATTGAGGTCTCTCGATGTTTGGCTTGACTAGCCTACTTACTGAGCTTTTAAGCAAGCGCTGAAGCAACGCCAAGTGTTCTGGACCTGGAAGCAGCTCCACAGCTTACTTTTACATGATCAGAGTCTGGAAAACACCCTGCATGTCCAATCAAAAGGGGTCTGGATGTGGTACTCCAAAATCCTCCTAGGACACTTGCAAAAAAAATGAGGCATGCTGAAGTGGGAGGGATTATCCTGGGCTGGCCATCAGTTTTGTTTGAATCCTCCTGTACACAGCAGTATAGCCCAAAGGTTACAATTTCCTGTGTCAGCACTGTTTGATCTTGAATGAAAAAAAGGAACGGTGATGAGTTGGGGAAAAGCAATTTATTCCTGTCCAGAAGGGTGCAGACAGCACATTTCAGACAGTTTTTCATGAACCGGCTGTAATTTGCACAGTGGGTGCTGCTGTCGGCACCCTTCTGAATGGTATCCCTCAATTAGCTGATCGAAGGAACCGGTTGGAAAATTCTCAGCCGATCGGAGCTCGCAGGCATTCAGCTACAGGCTCCATTCAGGTATTCACCACCTGTTACAATCTGACTGTACAATCGCATTTACAACTACCAAAAACTACGGAGTGCGAGGGCCTGCCTGATTGGATATAAATGGATTAGATAGATTAGGTAGGTGCTCATATTACATAGTTCTGGTAAATCTAAAGTTGATTGTACAAAGATTGCACAGTCAGAGTGCACTGCTTAACCACCTCCGGGCCAGCCGTAGTAAAAAAAACAGCCGGCCCGAGCTCTCTAGATCTGAGCGGGCGTCTTTAGGCGTCCGCTCACATATGTGCAAAAAAGATTGCGCCCATTACGCCGCACATGTTACATATCGCCGCGAACGTCGGAGTGAGAGCAATACGTCTAGGGCCATCAATCACTGATAACACTAAACTGATGAGCGGTAAAAGCTTTTAAAGCGTCGCCCATGGCCAATTTTGGGTATGGTAGTTTTCTGCGATTTCGCTGGTGCGCACAATTTTCAAGCTTGACATGTTTGGTGTCTATTTACCCGACGTGACCCGATCTTTTATATTTTACCAAAAAACTGGGTAATAATAAATGTTTCCTAACAATGTAAAAAAAAACTTTTTTTTCCAAAATTTTCTGTAATTTCTCCTAATTATAGTAAAAAATAAAAACCCCAGTGGTGTTTAAATACCACCAAAGGAAAGCTCTATCTGTCCTCAAAAAATGGTATAAAATTAATTTCAGTACAGCGTTGCATGACGGAATAAACGTCATTCAAAGTACTGCAGCGCTGAATACTGAAAAATGGCCTGGCCAGGAAGGGGGTCTAAACACCTGGTCTTGAAGTGGTTAAAGTGAATGTGCCTTGCTGGAAAATGACATTTTTTGGGGTGGGGAACTGCCCATAAAGGATATCAGAAGTGGTGCTCTTGATTTTGAGCATTACTTTGTTTGTGATTCCTGACCGTTGCTGACAAAGGGAGCTTTAGGAAACTAGGTGTTTGTTTATGCCCTGGGAGGTTTACTCTTTGCAAACACTCTGCAAACGAGCCTGTTCCTTTCCTCTTCTATGAGAAAGGATTACATTCATCACTCAAGTGCAGCTGATAGCATTGGAGCAATTTGAATGAACTCTGGAGGTCAAGACAATTGAGCACAAACAGATTTTCCACTGGTCAGGTGGAAATATCTGTCCAGCCAAACCAAGAGGATCAGTATACCTCCAAAACACTGACAGCAGGGCTAAAAGAGAAGGTAAAGAAACTGTACAGTAAGAGGAATTGATTTGCAGGGTTACTCCTTTCCCAAACTACAAACACCTCCTCCACTACTAATCTCTATTACACAGAGGAACACTGCTTTGCAGTTCCCAAAGGATAGCTGCTAGACCAGTCCCTGCAGCCTCGCTCTCCCTTAGCTCTGGCAGTGCAATGTCCCTCGGTGTCCTCACATCTAATACACTGGTTTGGACGTTTTGACTTGTGGGTTCTTAGACCACCGGAGCGGGGGGATAGCAGCCAGCCAGGTCAGATGTTCAGGTGAGTATATCGGAGTTGTTTTAGCTCCCTAGACAAAATGAGCACTTAACCCTTAGATTGTGGGGGTAGCCCTACTGGAAGGGTTAAGATTTCATATGCCTGGAGTTATTCTTTAAGGTCTTTGTTCAATCCAAGAACATTGCAATTCTAGCAAGATATAGATATGCACTTGCTAAAACAGTAAAACACATTAAAATAAAAAACAATAATAAAGCCACCACAAGGACTTAGGCCCCATTCACACCTAGGCGTATTGTAATATGCGCGTCTGTCGCGCGTTTTTTTTTACTGCGATTCCAAAGGCTACTTGGCTGTATCCCAATGGAAAACGCCCTACAAAACGGCCCAAAGTAGTCCTGGGACCTTTTCAGGCGTGGGCCGTTTTGTAGCCGCGTCAGGGACGGGCGGAAATACGCCTAGGTGGGAACGAGGGCATTGACTACAATGCAATTTATATTTTTGCCTGTTTTGTAGAGCGTTCGTCGAGCGTAGAACGCACTACAAAACGGTCAGGTGTGAACGAGGGCTTAGAAGCATCAATATATTACAGCTTTGTAGTTGGGTTTATATATTCTTAGCAAACAATTGCTAATGCACACCAAAACACATTTGCAACATGCTCAGTAGTGTGGCTACAACAGGTTATGGCCCACAGAAAATAGTAACATTTCAACATAAAAAGTTCACTCACCTATAACCAGGTCTAGAAAATGCTGCATTCATTGGATTATCCTAGGTCCTTATTTGAAATAACATTACAATTTCTATCTAACTTTTCCAGGTGAAGAGTGTAGAAAATATTGCAAAGCAAGACCCAAAATAACTGAACCCACCTTTTCCCACACAATTCACAAAATAGTCATTCCTTTCAGCTGTTACCAAATACAGTAGAAAGAAAATGTCTGATCATTTCTCATTTCCTCCCCAGAAATGTGAGTAATGCTCTCCAGTTGGAGATCCAATATGTATCATCTTATCTAAATCAGATCCAATGTGTTTATTACACCAAATAAATATGCACAGCAACAAACAAGTTTGTTACCTAGACGGTTGACTTCATTTTGAAGCAGTTCCTCCATTGGCTCCTCCTCAGCAATGTCTAGTGGAGTGTCTCCTTCACTATTTACTGCTCCTACATTTGCTCCTTGACTAATTAAATAAGTGGAAAAAAAAAAAAAAAAAGAAGAAGAGCTGGTTATATAAACCATACCCAAAACGGAACTGCATATTTCAAAACACATGCTGGAAATGAATAAAACCTTCAGTACCACTAATCCTACGTCAATGGGGCTGTAAATCTGCTTAAACAAAAGCAACAGCAAACCAATGAAGTTCTTTTATTTTACTAGTACGGATTAGAGGTTCATTTATGGATAGGGGCAAGTGATCACTGACTGCTTGTACCCACTCTCCATCCCCAGTCCATCTCCTGACTCGCGGTCACAGCTGAGCGAGCGGTGCAGGGAGCAGTCTATGTTGACAGCCGACTCCTCCCCGCACTGCAAAGCACGGCTACCTGTGGCAGCTGTCTCCGCCCTCACACCGCTCTCTTGATTGGACACAGCCGAGGGGGGCGCTGCGGGAGGAGAGCCCGGCCTCTTGCGACACCAGCTGCTCACATAGCTCTCCTCCCCCACACTGTTTGGCTTCCTTTGACAGTTTCTCTCCTGCCTGAGGGGACACAGAGCAGCACCCAGCAGGGGAGGGGGAGGGGGAGGGGAGAGAAACCATGGATGCACCACAATTTGACGAAAGTGCCATTTTCAGCCGTTATGTTTCAGCGGCCAGAATTTCTGTGCATCCCTACTCTCAGCCAATGCTTCCAACAGTACAGCAGCCTCTATCTCCCTCCACTGAAGTAAAGGGAAGGTACTCTGATGACCTAAACACTGTATAGGACGTGTACACAAGATCTTAGCCTGGGAGGAGGGGGAGAGGCTGAAGAGACCGGTCTAAGGCCCCATTCACACCAGGGCGGTTGCGGATCAGCGCAGTTTCCGAGCTGATTTTGAAAGGGCTGTTTCGGGAGTTTAGTTGCATTTCAGAGCGAGGTTCCATTGAAAGCTGTATGGAAACTGCACTGATCAGCGTGGCAAAAAAGGGTCAAGGAGCAATTCAGGCGGTTCGGATCGCGCGGACCCATGCGGTGGCATGAACGGTCCCCATAGCAATGTATGGGATCGCTCATGTCTGTGGAACCGCCCCGGTGTGAATGGGGCCTTACAGTCAGCCGGCTGTGAGGTTCAGGTGACTGTTATTTTTGTCTCTAGATCAAAACGAGCACTTAACCCTTGCAGTGCGGGGTAGCCCCACTACAAGGGTTAAGACATTTTGTGCCTGGCATTCTTTAAGGTCCCCCGTTTCATTGAGGAAGGCAGATTTAACCTTTATGTATACTTGTAAATTAGTATAACATTAAAAAGGGACTGTAATCAAAAAAGGTATTCAAGCTTTTTTTTTTAGATTAACAAAATGTCCCAAAAGCCGATGACTTACTCAGCTATGTCAACATATCCACAGGAAGAAGCAGCATGTAGTGGTATCCAACCTTCATTATCTGGTTGATTAATACTGGCTCCATTTTCAACAAGAAATTTGACCATCTCAACATTATCATCAATGCAAGCCTGTAAAAACAAAAAAGTGTAAAAGTATTATTTTAAAAAATGCATCTATAAACATGCCTCTCATTGTCTACACATTTCCAGTCCAAGTAAATTCTATAGCAATTTGCAAAGCTGGTACCATTAACCAAAAATTCAATCTCAAATGCAATGAAACAATTCAGAGGCCATTTTAACATAAACCACTGCTGAGCAGTAAGGAGACCATTTTGTGAATAGCTCTTCAGCTGGACCTAGATTTTAGCTTCTTAACATGCAAGTTGAAATCCAGACTAAACAAATTTTCCAAATAGAAAGCCATGCATATCCTTCAGGGGAGTGGACATTTTTTTTAAAAACTACTTGTCCAAAGGCTAAAGCGGGGGCCGAATCCACTTGTTCCAATACAAAATAAATTTTAATCAAAACTAGGGATGCACCAGAGACTGGGCCAGATTTGATCGGGTAATTCCATTTTCCCATATTACCTGGGAAAGTGAACTTACCCTTTATTGCACATTGTGCATGTAAAAGGTGCCCATACACCTTACAATTATCTGCAGATTTTCTGTGGTCAGATGAAAAAAGTGCAACAGATTGGCCCAGATGGAGATTACTCCAGCCACACAGTTAAGTAAAGATGGAGGAATCTGTTCCACCTTTTCCATCTGACCATAGAATATCTGCAGATAATTGTAAGGTGTATGGGCAGCTTACGGTTTCTGCTGCCTGGTTACCACAATATGGCAGACAGTCGAATGGTGGCAGCACTCAACGCGCGCACACACAATGTCCAACATGTGCGTTTATTTGCATGCAGGGGTTGATTTTAATTTTTTCCTTTTTTACATTTTCATATATTTTATGTATTTTTTCATAACTATTTTTTTTTACATTTGTTAATTTTTTACCACTTAAATTTCTATTCCTATCACATAGGGGCTCACAAGCCGTTAATCTGCTCTACAGGCTCTATGGTGAGCTCATGTGCCATGGTCCCGGGTCCCCCAGACAAGCGGGGGACCCCGAAAACCATCGCAGGGGGCGGACAAGATTGCTGCTTGTTTCATACAAGTGATCAGATCACTTCTATAAAAACGGGCGGTGGCTCCCCACTGCTTGTCCTTAGCGGGGCTAAATGTACAAAAAAAAAATTACTCGCCCGCCACCCGAAAATGTCCCGGGCGTTGGGCTATAGAATTCCACACCCCTGTTCTTACATAGACTTGTCTCTTGTTTAATTCCAAATCTGTGCAATACTCCATTACACGTTATCTCTGTGCAGGAGTTTCCTGTAATACAGACTGGCCATGGTTCTTTATCCATGTGCGGACTGGTCCTGTATCGGCCCCCTGTAGATTTCTGAAGGCAGCCTGTAATGGGAGGACCTCCTGAGCCCCACCTGAATCGGTTTCCTGCACAGGCTGGATATGCAGCCCAGTGATGCCACCACTACTTTTACTACCGAGTTTTACAAATTAAAACTAAGCTTGGTGGCCAACAATTAGCCTTCTGCCTTGAAGGGAAAAATTCCTTCCTGACTCAACTTGGCAAACAGATTCAAACATGGGGGATCAAAATATTTCAATACTACCCTTGAGTAATTATGAATGTGGGAAGTTAAAAAAAAAATAAATAAATAAAGAGCCCAGCGAAAAGCAAGATAAAATGAATAGCTCATTAATAATGAAAACAGCAAACTGGCTTTTGTTTTAACATTCAGCTTTAATCCAGAGCATTCCCCAGCAGTAATTTTTATTTCCCACTTGATGTCCTCAATCTAATGGCCAGCATCATTCAACCCACCTCCTCCGAGACCATGTTGTTCCAGACCCACCCCAGCCTGTGACTGGACACCGAAAGAAGCAGCACAGTAATGCGCTCATCTCTCTGTTTTCTCTTCCTATCAGCATGCTTCTTGTCGGAACATGAAATGACAGGCTCCTTGTGCTACTGCTTCCTCTCAAACTCAAGCCCTGATGAACAGTGGCAGCAAAAGGTAGATGCCAGGTCACCTTCTAACATGGCCTGCATTCAAAAAATGCATTGACATACTGATTACCAAGCTCCATTAATTTATGTATTTATATCTGACTGGACTTCAGCATTAAAAGAGAAGCAGAAAACCACCAAGATTAGGCTTTGAAGAAGCAATTGCCCCCACTCGGGCCACGTCACCCCAGAAAGGCAGTGCACTGCAGTAGAGGCATTCAAAACAAGAAGGTTGTAGCATACTCCAAAACATGGAGAAAATGTAGTACAACACAATGGGGGAAATTAATCAAAACTGGAGCGGACAAAACCTGGAGCAGTTGCCCATGGCAACCAATTGGAATCTCTATTCAGTTTGCTCAGGTAAGAGTTGAAAATGAGACAGAGAAGCTGATCGGTTGCAGTGCAAATTTGCTCCAATTTTGATAAATTCCCCCCAATATATACAATGTGTTGCCGTGCACCGTAACATATGAATTGCGTGCTCCTGCAAGTTGCGGTAACACATTTTACCACAGTGCTGTAGCACAAACAGATCCCAAACTCCATATCAGTAACTCAGAAAAAAGAGTTTCCTAGTTCTAGAACTAGTATATTGCATACGAGTCGGGGAATTACTGCTTTTAACCTAACCAAACCTAAAGCAGTTTTGGTTCATGAGCAATGTTCCTAGTGGCAGCATTTTTGTACAGTGTTACAGATTTTTAATTTACCACCTCACATACAACAGCTTCAATAAATCCTGTCAGACATTTTAAGAAGAATGTAGGGGCTGCCAATAAGAGCCTCCTTTAGAGGTTCTAAGTGAATGGCTGTTTTGATGACCCACCAGCTTTAAGACTTGTATACCAAGGAATTTACCCAGAAGAAATTTTGCAGACCAAATTTGCTAAGGTTTCTCCCACTGGCTCACGTGTCCTATAGTGATGCATGAGCTGGCAGAAAAAACACTGCGTCGTGCAGAAGTAGTAGGTATTCACAGACCCGGAAGTAATAAGGGGACTTTATCAAATCAAGCTGATTGGTTGCCATGCACAGCAGCTCCAGATTTTGTCTGCTCAAGTTTTGATAAATTCCCCTCTGAATACCTGCACCAGCTGAAGAGCAGTGACGCAGCAGTGATTCACTGGAAAGTAGGGATCAGGGGTGTGGAATTCGTATCGCCCGACACATGTAGTTCTGGGCACCGGGCAAGTGTTTTTTGCACTGTTTTAGCCCTGCTACGGACAAGTAGCAGGGCTGGCTTTCTTTGAGCGCCAAGAGCGGCACTACGAGCGGGGGGCATGGAGCGCCGAGAGCGGGAGGCGGGGACGGAGCGGGGACGAAGCATTGAATGAGATGGGGACGGAGCAGAGGGCGTGACTGATCGAGGGGCGTGGAGCAGTGACAAAGCCGGATGGTGGAGCTGTGACAGGCTCTGTCACCTCCCCCAGCCTCTGTCCCCGGCAGCCGCTGCTCGTTCCTGTCACAGGAGTTTTAGCAACAGTGCTGTGCTAGAACTCCTGTGTTGGAGGTGACAGGGTCAATAAAGAGTACCTGTCACCTCCAAATGCTAATCACACAGGGGATTATTATTTCCCGTGTGATAGCAATACAATAAAAAGTTTTTTTTTAAATAGTTAAAAAGTAAAAAATATTAAAAATGTAACTAAATAAAAATGTAAAAAATAAAAAGGCGATTAAGTAAAAATAATAAAACAAATGAAATTTTTTTACAAAGTAAATAAAAACAGAAAAAATGAAAACCAGCCCCACTGCCCCCATCTGCACGCGAATAAACGTGCAGTGTTTTCAACTGCAATCGTGTGCAACCGCACGGGCAGGGCGGTATTGCAGCAGGAAAACGCATTAGAAAATAATGGCACTGCCAGCGTGATCGGCAGTGGTGTGCGATTTGTGACTGCCCGGTCATCGTGCACGAAACCGAGCGGATGGCTGGGTGGTCACGGAATCGCACACCACCGCCGATCGTGATCGTATTTTCTAATGGCACCCCAGTCATCCGCAGGCAGATTGCGCGTTTTCCTACTGCAATACCGCCGCGGGCGATCACGGTTGAAAACACTGCACGGTGCATGTCGTGAAAATAGGTACACCTTTTTTTCAGCGATTGCCACGCAGATGTAACCCCATACATGCGGATGCAACCGCTGTATGCCACCGCACACGATCGCACGTCCTGGGAATCCCCAAGTCTGCACCAACCCTGAAGGGTAAATTCACTTTCCCAAGTAATTTGGGAAAATGGAATTACCCGTACAAATCTCCCTTCCACTATACTTACCTTTCAGCAAACGGTCCTTCCCGTCCACCAGTACGGGTGTACTATCTGTACCTGTTCCATGTAGTCTGAATTTCGCTCGCAAATTGCAAGCACTCGTTGGTCAACGCAGTCACCTGACGGCACTGACCAATGAGAAGCGCTTCTTAGCACTGCTAAATACGGTTTTGGTTAAAATTATTTTTTTTGTATCAGGACAAGTAGATTGTCATGAGGGACAAGTAGATTCGGCCCCCGCTTTAGTCCTTGGACAAGTAGTTTTACTAGTATCGGTGGCGATACGGGACATTTTCACAAGAACTTGTAGCTTTACCGGCCCTCTAATCATTCAAATTAAGCGGCTGCCCGGGGTCCCGCATTTGCTGGGGACCTGATGGCAGCCTTGCTGAAAACCTAATCTCTGCAACATGGGGGTGGGAATCTGGAGACCATCACCTAACACGAGCGGAGATTTGAGGGCACCGACACGGAACAGCGGTGTGTGGGGGCTTACCCTGCGGTAAGATGCTGTAGAGAGGGTTTCAGTTGAACTTGCCAGATTTCCTCCTTTGTCCCTCGGTGTCCTCTCCCACCCGGCCCTGATGGGGACACTGGTGACATGAGCATCCTCCATTGTGTTGCAGTGTGCTGCTGTTAGCATCGAAAAGTCAGTATTGTTTACTCTTGTGACTGCATTGTAACCTGGTCTGCTTCTAAAGTATACTGCTTCTAAAGTATACTTCTTCTAAAATCCGCTTCTAACAGTCTAGGG